AGAGGATGCTTTTCTTTACTCTTTTCTTCCTTGATGGACTTATTCATCCTGTGACTTAAAGAGCCTTCTGCAGACCAATAATTACCAGCTCATTTCTGAGGTTCTAAGCCAGCAACGCAAATTGCTTTCTGCATATCAATACCAAAAAGCTCTCCAGTACAAAAAGCTCAAATCAAAATTAAACATATTTTGTTCCTTAAAACTTGTTTCTCGCTGGGTGCCCGTGGCTCAAACCTATAATCCTCACTACTCAGGATGCTGAGATCTGAGGATCTCAGTTCAAAATCAGACTGGGCAGGAAAGTGCGTGAGATTCTTAGCTCCAATTAACCACCAGAAAACGAAGTAGTGCTGTGGCTCCAGTGGTAGAGCCCCGGCCTTGACTGAAGAGCTGAGAGACAGCACCCAGGCCCAGAGTTCAAGCCCCATGACCAACAAAAACAAAAAGCAAAAACAAAAACTTGTTTCCCCACGTGTGGCATATAAGCTAATGGCACTATTCATGTGGTTGCAGACGGACATTCTGCATTCAATTAATCATCATGTTCATCTCTGTTTCATTTCTTCTACTATGCCTTACCTAATCCTAAACTTCTTTTTTCTTCTATTCACTTGACACCCTCAATTATATGTGCTTACGATTTCATTTTCTTGTAGACAGAGTTCTTAGTGTGCCCAAACTTCTCTTTTTCGAAGGTATATTCCCACCCCTACACACTGCAGGACAGGCAGCTGATGGTACACACGTACATTCTGAATGGCTAATTGTTTTTAGGTAGTATATTTATCCTGTTGATGTTTCAAGTTACTTCTTTCAAGAATCCAAGATTTATTTATCTACTTTGATTTTCAGCTTAGCCTGCTCTAGATAGGGTAGACACAAAATGTTCCTCGATATCTTTTAGCCCTAAGCACGGGGAAAAAAAAAAAAAAAACCTGAATTTCTCCCAGGCCAAAACACAGTGTCTTCTCTTCCAAAGAAAAATAAATTTTCTAAGAAATGGAAACATAGTCTGCTTTGTTTCATTATATAAATATACTTTGAGCCCAGCTCTCTCCCCTCTTATTTGCAGACCTCTTCAGGTTTAGGCTTCCTACTACCTCTTTTCTTTACATAGTTTAAGAGCTCTTCCTGTCCCTCCGTCATTCAAATGTGTTCTATTGTGTTTGCTGATAAACATGCAATAGCAATGCAAACCATACTTGATCATGGAAGGACTAGTGCTGTTTTTTTCCTAATAGAAATACTATTGCTTTCCACTCTACAACATGATTCCAAACTATACATTTTAAAGCTCTGTAAGTATTAATCAGTTTTAAATCAACTATCTAATTCATTTAATTGCCTATGCATGTATCTGATCTTTGTTTTATCTTTTGATTTTATTTATGATGATGATGATAATGATGATGATGAGGTGTGTGTGTGTGTGTGTGTGTGTGTGTGTGTGTGTGTGTGTGTGCATGTACATGTCCTGGGGCTTGAATTTAGGGGCCAGGGTATTGTCCCTGATCTTCTTTTTGTACTCTCCCACTGGAGCCAAATCTCCACTTCCTGCTTTTTTGATGATGAATTGGAAGTAAAAGCTTCACAGACTTCCCTGCCCTTGTTGGCTTTGAACTGCAAACCTCAGATCTCAGCCTCCTGAGTAGCTATTGTTAGAAGCATGAGCCACCTGTCAAGTTAGATCTGGCAACAATAATTGATAAGAAATGTACTGATTACTGGGCTGGGAAGGTGGCTCAGTGGTAGAGTGCTTGCCTTGCATGCATGAGGCCCTGGGTTCGATTCCTAAGCACCACATAAGCAGAAAAGGCCGGAAGTGGAGCTGTGATTCAAGTGGTAGAGTGCTAGCCTTGAGCTGAAGAGCCAAGGGACAGTGCCCAGGCCCAGAGTTCAGGCCTCACGACCAACAACAACAACAAAAAGAAATGTACTGATTACCTTATTCATATAACTATAACCCCTCTGTACAGTATTTTCAAAATAAAAAACTTATTTTAAAAAAAGAATCAATATTATCATTCTTCTTTGAAATGGTTGTAATATTGCTTTCATCATTACTTAAAATCTGAGTGCATATTTATTTTATACTTACTTTTGCTATAATTTTTGCCTCTTCCAAATCATACTTTTGACTGTTTCTGACGAGCAAAACATATATTAGTGTTCAAAATGTCTTGAATACAACTTCTCTCCATCAGTGGATTATACTGAAATAATCAGAGACCAATTAGGATAATTCCATCTTGGAGCCTAGACAAGATGAAAGAATTACAGAACATTCAGGTTGATAAGAGGACAGGACCTGGGCAAGAATATTCCAATGTACTGATAAGATTTACTCCAAGTCTCCTAGGAAATACCAGTGGGAATGTATGGAGATTTGGAATTTAGGCCAAAGAAAGTAAGCAATCTTTCTAAGAAGACATCTGAGTCAATAGTTCAACACTTAATTTTGAAAGATATAGTAGGCTATAATGGTGCTTTATAATCTTGTACTAAATATTTTTGCCTGAACTAACAGATTCTATACATCATAGGTAGTGATAGATTCTTGAGTTAAATTTGTGGGAGACTGCCTTAACCCTGGCATAATACTCTTTGAGATTAGCGATTTCCTTGGATGGGAAGCTATTTCTAAATAAGCAGACAGATTTAATCCTTTTATACACAATTTCTTTGGAATGTTCCACCAGATTTAGTCCTGACAAACCTTATAAAGTTGAGGTTCACCATGTCCAGAACTTTCTTTACTAACGTCTAGACCCAAACTTGAGGCAAAGATAATTTGTGAGGCCTTCTAGATCTTTCCTTTTATTATTTTGTTAACAGTATGTAGAAAAAGAACAGCATACTTGGAATAACAGGTCATTATCCCACAACATTTAATTCAAACTAGCAGTGGAGTTTAAATGGTTGTCCAATTATTTTCTGATAATGAAATGCTTTTTATTTCATTGTGATGATACTCCCAAACACATAATTTTCCCACATACCCTTCAAGACTAGATTACGCTCTCACTCTCTTTCTCTCTCTCTCAGCTTCCAGGTTCTTTTCACTTTCCTTTGAAGCTCTATCAAAATTATATGTCTGTATCATTTCTTTAATGTCATCTCCATCTTCCCCACTGCATCACTCCATATAACTTAACCCCTTGAACCTAAAGATGACATCCTTATTCTGGATCAAAAGCAAGCCAACTTTATCCTCTGGATTAAATCCATCCTTGTAGCTAATCTAGGAATGCGTGTTTGTGTTTTTCTTGTCCTTTTAAACGGTTGCAATTTTTACTTGTAAAAAATACACAAAGTCTAAAGATGACACAAAAATCTTAATATCAGTGTCCATAAAGCTTTATTCACATGCAGTCATGCTCCGTCATTTACATTTCTCCCATGGCTGGATTCATGCTACCCTGCCAAGTTGTGTAATTAGACTGTATAACTGTGGCATAAAAATATTTACTGTCTAGGGTCTGGGAAGGTGGCTCAGTGGTAGAGTGCTTGCCTTGCATGCTCGAGGCCCTGGGTTCGATTCCTCAGCCCCACATAAGCAAAAAGAAAAAAGCCGCAAGTGGCGCTGTGGCTCAAGTGGTAGAGCGCTAGCCTTGAGCTGAAGAGCTGAGGGACAGCGCCCAGGCCCAGAGTTCAGGCCCCACGACCGGACCCCCCCCAAAAAAATATTTACTGTCTAGCCATTGATCACAATTTTCTGAGCCCTTGATATAAGATTTAGCTCTACCATGAGCACCTGAAACTTAAATAATTAAATATTAGTGATTATAGAGAGATGAGTATCTGTTGGAATACTGTTGAATGAATGGATATAAATGAACATGACTGGCCACCAGGAAAAGCTAGATCAATATTTTCAATATTTGACTGGAAACCTAATAATTCACCTAATTTTTCTCTAAGACTAATAATCTGGCTAGTCCTCCTATTAAAGCTCTATGATTCCTTTTTAAGTGTATTTATAGCTTTTTATTCCATTGTTTTACAAATGAAACAAGGAAATGAAAGGCAGGTGAAAATTGAAATCATTACAATGTATTTTTCAGATTAGGTTCAGATGAATGAAGTCAGATTTATTAAAAAATAATGGTGCATTAACTAATCTCATTGCATTACTGAACGGAGAGTTTTGATAAGGAATGTTGTCCTTGCTATGTGGAAGGTATAGATAAAAGGATCTCAATCTAAGACTGGTCTGAGCAGAAAGCACAAGGCTCTATCTGAAAAATAATTAAGTAGAAGTGAGCAGGTTGTGTGACTCCAGCACAAGACAAGACTCTTAAGTTCCAACCCCAGAATGACCACCAAACACAAGTAAAAATATTTTAGAAAGGAGTAGTGCCTAAAGTATATATCATCCTCTTGAATCATTTGATACTAGCTAGTGGGATACTTTAGATTCACTTACAAGGCCCTTATTAAATGAAAGTCATAAATTATCATCACAAGTCTACTTGATCTTTCTTTCAATTTATAGAATAGCAAAACCTGATCTGTTTGTTTCCCCTAGCATTTCTTCTGATTTGTACATTAGTAATGATATAAAAATAAATAAATAAAAATATGATGGCCAGACATTGGTGGCCAGCTTCTCCCGAGTCTGAGATGTGAGGTTGGCCAGTCTAGGCAGGAAAAGTCTGTGAGACTTTTATCTCCGAATTAACCACTAAAAAGCCAGAAGTGAAGGTGCGATTCAAGTGGTAGGGCACCAGGCTTGACCACAAAAGCTACTGGGACAGCTCCATCCACCACACCCAGAATTTCAGCTCCAGTGCCAGCACCAAATATATAAATATATAAATATGATCAAAGTATATTATTTGCATGTGTGAAAATGTCCCAATGAAAACCATTCCTTCCTACATGTCAACAACTATGCCTGCTCATGGTAACTGCTGTCTTTCAGAACGCAAGAAGAAAACCGGCTGCAGAGCCTTTAGCCTTCGTCTTGAAGGCAGGGAGTATAGGAAGACGGCTCAGCCATGTCAGAGACTTCCTCCCACGACTCCTTCTACGATTCCTTATCCGACGTGCAGGAGGAAAGCAAGAATGTGGACCACTTCCCAGGACTCTCTGCTTTTCTCAGTCAGGAAGAGATAAACAAGAGTCTCGACCTGGCCCGCCGAGCTATAGCCAGCACTGAAACAGAGGATTTCGACTCGGAAAAGGAGATCTCACAGATTCTCAACAGCTCTCCGGGCAGCCTGTGCGCAAAGCAGGAGGAGGAGGAGGAGGAGGCGATCAAATTGGCGGAGCCGGCCTCTTCTGCAAGGTCTCCAGATCGCAGGCCAACCCCCGCTCAGCCTCTGGCAGTGGAGCAAGCTGAAGGCATCAGTTCACCTGCTTCTAGAAGAAAACCTGCCCTCTCACCCCTGCTTGCCAGCCCCAGCTATATCCGGAGCCTGCGCAGATCTGAGAAACGTGGGGCAAAATTTCCCAGCCCCAGTGCAAAGCCGAAGCCTGCGCCTCCAAGCCAGGCCGGGCCCCAGAGCCAGCTGTGCGACAAGGCCGCTAACTTCATCGAGGAGCTGACATCCATCTTCAGGGAAGCAGCCAAGCCGAGAAACCGGAGCCCCAACGGGGAGTCCTCATCTCCAGACAGTGGGTACCTGTCTCCTAAAACTCAGCCCTCGGCCCTGATGAGTGCCACAGCCAGCCAGAGCCCCACCGAAGAGCAGCAGGAGATGGAGGCCAGACCCTGTTACCTGGGCAGGCAGCCGCCCCACCGCCTCACGCACCTGCAGCCACAAAACGGGCTCCACGTGCGCTCGGCGCCCAGGTTCATCCAGAAGCTCAAGAGTCAAGAAGTGGCCGAAGGAAGCCGAGTCTACCTGGAGTGTAGGGTCACGGGGAATCCCACTCCAAGAGTCAGGTAAGACGGTTTTATGGTAAACGTCAAGGATGGTGTTGACTCTGCAAGTCACTTGAATGCGGAAAAGGGGAAAGGGGGTGCGGGGTGCGGTCTGCGGGGTGTTCTGGTCTCTGAGGTAGGGTTTTGTCGAGGGCTTATAAGCAAGAGCATGGCCTAGGGAAGTTCTTCATGGTTCCAGGCATTTCTGGCAGGATGATTTTTGGGGTGATGAACCATTTGTGCTATTGACTCTGAGAAAAGGGCCAAAAACTTGAGAAGGAAATGAGAAATGCAGGGAGGTTGTGATATATGACTGACTCTAGAGTTACCAACAGCCATATACTTCAAATGTGAAATTGAGTTAGCCAGAGAAAAGTGGTGTGTGTGAGTGTGAGAGTGTGTGTGTGTGTGTGTGTGTGTGTATGTGCGCGCGTGTTGATGAAGATGATGAAAATCTGGCCAGAACTCAAAAGTTTTCTAGAGCAGCGCTGAAATAATGCAGTTGAAGGCATGGAGACAATCAGAACACACTCAGTAAAGATAAGCCTAAGTACACACCTCCCAGAGGACACGACCAGAGGAAACAGAACTCCATTACTAAACAGAGACAGATTAGCGCCAGTGATGCATGCCTATAATCCTAGCTAGTCTGGAGGCTGAGATCTGAAGATGGAGGTTTGAAGCCAGCCCAGGCAGGAAAATCCCTGAGACTTTTATCTCCAATTTGGCCAACTGGCCAAAAGCCAGAAGTGGAGCTGTGGCTCAAGTAGTAGAGCACTAATGATAAATAGAGTAGAGAGCATTGCAGGTTGGTTATGGGTGTGCAAATTCAGGCTTCCAGAGTCTAGGTGCAGGTAAAAATAGGAATGAAATGAATGTGCGCACACAGTAAAATCCTCACTATCATGTGCATTAGAATTTCATAAGATCCTCCTTCTTTTTTTGTGTTCTCCTGTACCCAAGAATCACATGATACGGCTCCTGTCATGTAATTAGTAGTGTCACCTTTGTCAAGTTACCTGGCACCTCTTTGGCTCGGTTTTGTTATCTATGAAGTGGGCATTATAGCAACGCCATCCTGATTCTGTTTCGTGGTAATTGAAATAACTAAATGGGAAATAATGAAACAGGTCCAGGGCACCAGCTGCAAGGAATAGTGTTAATGTCCTGCTTTCATTTCACATGGCAGAATGCAAAGAGTATTTCACCTTGGGGTTGTGCTGCAATTAGCAAGCATCCATGTGTTCTGAAAGTTTTGCTTATATTAACTATGAATGTTTCACCTAATTTACATGTTACTAAAGAGTAAATGTGAAAAAACATTTAGAAAAATAGTAAACTAGACAGCAGTGGCTAAAACTGAAGCACCGATATTTCCTCATTCAGTAGTTCTGGAATCACAAGATTGACACCTTCCGTACTTCACTAGTGTTGGTTGCTTCGTTTTGCAAAGCACCATTGAAGAACATGACGTAAGCACTAGTGTTCGTGCTGCTACGTGGCAAAATTAGATTCGGACAATTATATTCCCCACCAATCAACCAATTTATCCAACCAATTGACCTTGTCGAATTTTACTTAGTTTCTTTTAGAAACTGACAGCAGAGGGCAGCAAAAACCTTTTTCATATGTTTATTTGATTAGGTCCCTAAATTTTGCAGTCCACAAGAATTTATTTTCCCCTACTAAAAATAAATTGAGTACTTTTTTTCAGACTGTACTTGAATCTTTTAAAAGCCCCCCCCCCAGTCTTGAGAACAAATCCTCATCAATAGAATTATACTCACATCACAGCTCTGCAGATTTTCTAACTACGTGCTATTCCATCCCAATTAGTATGTTTCCAAATGGATTAAGATAGCAAAGAAGCCATAACCTTTCAAGAATTGCCAAAAGCACCCATTTACCATCAAAGTATTCATTCAAGTAAGTAGACTGCAATCTCTGTGTTGATGTTCATTTCACCATCTGGTATTTCTAGAGACCAACAAAAGCATGCTTTGGCCTGTTTGGAGAGAAGGGACAACAGTTGTTATTAATTATGATTAAACTAGTTAATAAAGTATATTTAACTAGCTTTCTCATGTTCTTTTCCAATGTCCCCGTGTCAATGACCAATATTCCTTGGACCTTGCAAATTGTGTCCCTTCTCATGAAGACTTTGATACAAATGCTTCATTGTTTAGGCAGCTGGTCTTTTCCAAGTTGTTTTCGTTTCATTTGTTTTGTTTTGAGAGATAGTGTATATCTGCTCGCTGAGTTTTTTTAACATTCTGTTCTGGATCTGGGGATCTTGATCATCTTGGTCGTGCATTTGTGAATTCCTAAGAATACTAAACTCTTTTGAGCTCATAAGACATTGTGAGGGAAATTTTGCATCAGAAATAAACTCATCAACAAAGAGAGCATGAAAAGCTGGCCCAGACTGCATCAGTCCAGGGGACCCAGAAACCAGACATTCGAGAAACCTGTTGGCTTCACAGGTCATCTCCTAAGGCCCCAGGAGTAGTTGTCAGTAATATCTGAAGCAAGCAATGAGAGAGACCGGCTGAGAAGGGTGGACACAGACCTGGGATACTTCCTGAGAAGTGAGGCAGTTTGGTGCAAAGGGACTGGGTGTCAGAGAAACTCAGCCCGCCATGACTTTAGACAAGTGTCAAAGCAGAACACAAGAACAGAGCAAGAGATCTGGATTGGGTCTGATGAAATGAGAACTGAATGTGTGCTGGGCCCAGAACAGAAGAAAACAAATTGCTTTAGACATGGCTGGCCTACAGTGCATCCAGCTGGAGACTCTTAAATATGATCCGGGGAGTGTTTGGTCCAGAACCCTGGGCCTCGGCAAACGAATAAATGTAAATAGAATAGCTCCAGCTAAAAGGAAGAGGAAGAGAAACAAAAGGGGAAGCCAGGGCAGTCATTTCAAGGTATTTCTGCTTTATATGCAATCATTTCAACCTCTCACATGGTACATATTAGTAATAAACACAAAGAGGAGAGAACATTTTCTCATGTCCAACAAAGTCTCAAAGATGGGGGCAGGGTCCTGATGAAAAGTGCTTGTATATATTTGGAGCCATACACTTTTAGGTTGTAGTCAAAGAGCATAATTATTTTGTAGTAATTTGAATTACTACATCATACAAAGCCAGGTCAGAATTCACCTGTTTTCTGTGATGATATCCTAAGGTCCACATTTCCCATGCATATTTCAGAACCATATAAAGACACGTTCCCTGCTGCCACTCATCTTCCCTCTTAATCCTTTTAGATTCATTAACAAGTCATAATTATTTTTAATTGACTTCTAAGCCAGGTGTGGTTGGGCATAACTGTAATTTCAGCCCTCCGGAGGCAGAAGCAGGAGGGTTATGAGTTGGAGGACAGCCCGGGCTACATAGTAAAACCATCTTAAGTACAACAAGAATGACATTGAGTATTCTAAATGTTGACCTGATATTTTCACCTCATGCTTTGCAAAATATCCTTTTATGGTAACCATATATCTTAAGCCAGTAAAATGTAAGATGGTTGGCATAGGAAACGGTAGTGATGTGCTAAGTAGCACAGAAATAGTGAGTTCATCTGAAAGGCTGAAGCAGAAAGTAGGTATTGTGCTTCCTGACCCTGAACTGGGTGAGAGGACACTGCCCCTCCCCCCCCCCATCGCTGCTGTTGAGTGTTTATGTGGGCCTCACAAACAAGCTCCATGAGAAGAGATTGGTGAAATGGCCAGGCCTGAACATTTTATAGGCATCGAATCCATATTTAAAAGAACAAGGCAGTGTGATGATTTCTGAAATGCTTTTCTCTATGAAAAAGAACCACAGGCCTTTGTGGTTATTGCTCCTTTTTCTTTTGCTTCCAGTAAATTCATAATAGTGGATCAAAATAAACCCGGAAGATTTTTAATATAAGAGAGTGCATGGGTTGGGAAGGTGGCTCAGTGGTAGAGCGCTTGCCTCGCATGCATGAGGCCCTACGTTCGATTCCTCAGCACCACATAAGCAGAAAAAGCCAGAAGTGGCGCTGTGGCTCAAGTGGTAGAGTGCTAGCCTTGAGCTGAAGAGCTGAGGGACAGCGCCCAGGCCCAGAGTTCAGGCCCCATGACTGACAAAAATAAAGTGCATATATGTCACAAAAAACTATAAGCAAAGCATATAAACAAAGTTATGAGTAGTGGTCCGAACACATCCTTAGGTTAATATCATATTGTGCAGTCAATGTGTTTATATTCAAAAGAAAAGAAATGAAACACTTGCAGACTCCCACCTACTACTGTAAAAGTGAAATCCAACAATAGTCAAAGCATCTGCTTTAATATTCTCAATACAGCTACTCATAATTAATCATAAGATGCCTGTTAGGTCATCACTGTTGGCCTTGTAAAGTTTTATTTAATATGTCGTTAAAATTAATTAAATTCTCTTTTTATAATAAAAACGCAGCACCTCTAATGAAGCCAATTAGTTTACATTACCAAAACTTTGATCACCTTCAAAAGCCAAAACAGAATTATCCATCTCAAATCTGTCAACACAGCCTGTAGAAGTTTTCACTTCCTCAAAGACAATAACTGAAAACAAGCCTTCGATTCTCTGTTTTCAACTCGGGGAACTGCTGTGCACGATATCCTATTTGCTGACTGTTTGATTTGTGAAAATATGGCCACAGCACCATTAGCCAGTGGGTTATGAATATTCAGTGCTTCTAGAGTGAAGATTCAGATGGCGTAAGCCAGGACTATTGTTGTTAACATATATAGTGAACAACAAGGTAGCAGATGGTACCATCGGATTATTAATATGAAACATTCCGGCAATATATGGGTTGTTTTTTCAATATAAAACATAAATACATATAAAATACCCAAGAAAACAATGTTGTAGACGTATGTAAGTTTAAGACATTCTTACACAAAACCTTTCTATGAAGCAAAATTTACTACTTGATATCTTTACTTCAAGTTTAATAGTCATATCAAATTTAATGTATCCAAATGAAACAATGAAATCTCTATG